CCCTACACATCACTCAGCAATGCTGAGTTCCTGGGCGCTGCTACACGCTAATGGAAACACTTAATGAGTAACAGGATGTTTTCCCCCACAGAGGTCAAAGATTAAAATTTTGGTTTTAGTCTTACCATTATTTTTATAAAAAAGGCATCTTTTGTTACATTTCCACAGCTCAGTTATCATGCTGCGACACACTGCATCCAGTTCTGATAAGTCATGGAAAGTTATGATTAGTTAAGCTCTGTATGAATAGAGAAGCCTTCCCTGAAGGTTCGAACTGGCCTCTAACTTGAGATTTTTAAATCATTGTTGAAGTGTTTTGACTAGGCTTCCTTTGTGTACGCTAAACAGATTAACGTTATTTTTAATCCAGCGGTGCCTGTTTTATGATGTACACTTGCTGTGGATAGAGTGTTATTCTGTTCGTCACTGCCAGCTGTCTCCTTGGGAACCTTCAGTAACTCCAGAGGAGTGAATTGTCAATAACAAGCAAATAATATCTTTTCTGCTGAATTCTCAAGATTGGGGAAAAAAAAAAAAAAAGTTCCCTACCTGTCGTGCGTCCCTTATCTTATAAAATGTAGGGTGGAGGTTGGTTGTTCCAACCTGAGGCTCCACAGTGAGCCTCAGGAGTTAAAATGTTTGTAGCATGAAACAAAGGCAGAAGAGGTAGCTATTGCAGTACTGTATTCACCATATTCTGTGGATATTTTCTGGCTGAAGGAAGTAAGCCTTGGTTGTTACAGCTGTCACAGTGACATCTGATATTTCATTGTGAGTTCAGTGATTGCCTCACCCACCACATGACCCTGATCACTACAGTGACTTTGTGTCCACTGTTAAATTGTGACAGGTCTTGGCCCTCCAGGTGCTGTTTCAAGTCTGAAATAGCAAGTTGTCTGTCATACTCTCTCTGACTAACTTAATGTTTTAGGACCCAGCAAAAATTTGTAAGGTAGACAAGGTCTCATACAGCAGCAGAGCAAAGAACTGGTCTTATGTCTGTTTTAATGACTCATCCAGAACAAGGGCACTAAATATGCTTTGTTTATTAGGAATGGGCAAACTTCAAAATGACTTTGTGGCTTAAATCTCAAAACTTTATTTGGTATTTCATTTTGGCTTTTGAGAAACTCGCTTCATGAAAAAATCTGGAAGGATTTGACACAGAAATGGGGGGACATGATACCAAGATGATTTTCATTAGTCAAAAGTGGCAATTTCCAAAACATTTTCATACAGGATTTCAGATCCAAAGTATGTCTTCACTGATTTTTTTCCCCCCACTCTGGGGGGGGAAAAAACCCCAAAACTGCTTCAGGGAAATCGTGTTTCATAAAAGCCTGAACTGTATACCAAAACTAAAAGTTGCATAGTTCAAATGAATAGAACCCTCCACGATGCACTTTTTTCCCGCCATAGTAAGTACCTTTCTTGTGGTAAGATTAATTTAAAAGTTCCTTGGCCTCGTCTGCAAGAACGACTTAGAGAGAAGACTTTTCTTTGCAAAGAGATACGGCCTATCAGGCCTGCCTGGTGTTTGGGAATGAGGTGGTGGAAAAGATTCCGTACGTAAGATAGCAGAGGTGGCCTAACTGCCTGTTGCTCTGCATGTTATATAATCTTTGACGCCAGTGCTGTGTGGCTGCTAGACTTTTCCAGCCCTGACTGCTTGTCTTTTTTAGCCCTTGCTGTTGTTAAATTCATGTAAATTGGTACATGGGGTCGAGGATAGCCAAGAATCAGGGTTTGCCTATTGAACTGCAGCTGAATTGTACCAGAAATCAAGTGGATATAATGCCAGGATAATAAAGAGGTTAAATAACCACCACCTTTAATTTTTGGAGTGGTTTTAAGTTCTTAAATATAGTCTTACAAAAATATTTTCTTCATTTCGGTGGACGTGCTTGTAAGGGTGTAACCTGCAATTCCACGTCTAATGCAGAAGGTACTTTTGTACAGAGTGTTTCTGGTCACCTTTGCTAAGGTAGTGCTGAGTGTCTTGTGGTGACCCCCCCTGCTCAACAGAAGATCTCAGAAACATGGCTACAGCATGTTACATTGGGAAATGTTTTGCTTTCATACCTTTCGCTGTGCATTCTGGACTGCAGTTGCAAATATTGTTTGTTAGAGTATGAATGGTTCTTTCTTCATGTTTTATCAGAAGCATCTCTTCATTTGTAATGATATACATATGTAGTAACTATATGTGTATATATACACACATATACACACGCATGGAAATGTATATATTTATAAAAACCAGATCTGTGATTCAGATGTCACGTTAAGATGAGAAAAGAGCATCATTTAAAAATGGAACTTTACAAAATCTGCTTGCAAGTGCAGTTAGGCATATCTTAGTGGAAAACCAGATCAGAAATTGTCAACTGTGTCACGAGTGTGAAGATGGAAAGCAAGATGGATGAGCTATACAGGCAACTTTCAATAGATGACTGTAGAGCTAATGTAAAGAGGCAAAGAGAGAAGGGAAAATATTCCTTCCTGATAGAAAGCCTGGAAAGCAAGTGTAAAAAATTGGAAAATTAGGATTTGTCCATTCTAAGCACACCTTTGAAATTATCACGTAACAGAGAGCTTTGCTTATCATTCTAGCAGTCTGTCAAGTGAAAAATTACCACATTATTGAATAGGGAAAAGACCAGGCCAGCTGTGTTTGGAAAAACTTTTTGCCTTCTTGTGGCGTATCTGTAATAGCTGAACTGTTCTCCATTCATCCACGATCCATTTGGGTGTCTGGATCTACACTGTTTTCATATGCAGTGTTTAATGTGATCAGAGATATCACACAGCCAGGTCTTCTCAAGACTAGACATAAGACTGTGTGATTCTACCAACTTGCCCAAATCCTAAAAATTAAAAAGAAAAAAAATACTATTTTATTTTTGTTTTCTTTTAAAACAAACAAAAATAGTTTTTAAAATTTTCCCTGACCAAATACAGTCATTTGTCTGGGGACAAACTGGACAAACACTGTAGATTTGATCCTGCCGTTGGCAGTTTGGGGATGAAGGCTGGTGAATACAGTGCTCTCTGGAGTGTAGCTCTGTGTTCGTCACTTGTTATCTGCTATGAGCTTTGGATATACCGTCTGTTGCAAAACCTTGATTTTCTCTATGTTTATATGGTTCTCTACAATGATTATGACTAGGGTTTTTGAAGGATAATTACCATTATTAATAGTAATGATTTATTAGTAATAATTACTAAAGATCTTTGACAATTTCCTAAGGAAAAATACTGTAGGTGGAAAGCCACAGATGGAGTCATTATAACAAAGAGAGAAGAGTTATTTGCCTCCATCTTATACTAAAATAATTAATTCCTAAGTTTTTTCAAGGGTAGCTATGGAGACCTCTCTCACCTAAATATTTTGTCCCTTTCTGTCCAACTGAAAGGCCCCAAAAATTAAGACTGGAAGAATGAGCATGCCTTTCCCCTGATTCCTGTGAATACTTCAAACAACAAATACAACTTATTTCTGTCTGTTTTTCCTTCTGTCTGTCCTTCCATCCGTCCTTTGCTTCTCCTTCATCTGAACCTAATTTTCATGGCCTTTTGTGTTTCCATAACTATGTAGAATGTGTGATACACAAAAAAGTGTAGTTTTCCTGTCGTGATAGAAACTATGCTACCAGAAATTTCACAAAAAAACTCTTTCTCATAGGATATGTAGCCAAATATCTATTGTTATTATATACTTAAATTTACTATTAAAAATGTGCACAAAGCTCTGGGTGTGTTTATCTACAGCTTTAAAAGAACAACCAAAAACTTAACAGCATTCCACGATCATTTAGTCTTCAGACCTAATAACAAAATCCTTATTCACTTACACAAGTGCATCTGTGTCCAGCACTTTGTCCCACAAGCAGAATGTGCCTGGAGCTCGCGGCACCATGGAGGGAGGAGGGGGAAATACTTCTCATTGGCTGGGAATGCTCCATGCAGATGAAGTAATGTAATCCCGAACGGTGCACTCCGGCTTTTTCAGTAAATGTTTTTTGTCACTACAGAGCTTTATGTAACAGCAGTAAAGGCAAGAAAGGAAATTAGAAGCGCAGTCGAGACTGCATCTCATACTTCATAATGGCCTAAAATTCTTACTGTTTATTAAAACTAACACCCCTTGTCAGGGTGTTGATCAAAAATTCTCTGTGGTCTCTTTTCTTTGATCTGTTCGTTTTATAAACTGCAGATATTTGTTGCCATGTCTTAATTTAGTTTTATGTCTAAAACATTGAAACTCCAAACAACTTTGCAATAATGTTGTGTAATAAGAAGTAACCCTGAATTCTTCCAGCCAGCAAACTCATCACTAAACAGATCTATCCGCTCCCAAGCCAAGGAGAACTCTAATGTGGCACAAACTGAAATGGGTCAGAGCTGGTACCAGAAAGGATCCTTTTAAAAACCTGTCGTGTCTGTGTGCCTCATGCTTCTGCTGCCATCCACTCGGCGTATGGGCATAACATGTTCTAATATACACGTTTACCTTTTGTTTCAGCAGTTCCCTGGCTCCTGCACATGCAAACGTTTGAATTTCCTGTTGGCCCAGAGGTGAGATTTATAACATTTATTAAAGTTGCTTTTCACTGTGAGTTTACTGGGCAGAAAGCCTAAGAGGGTCTTTTTTTTAAAGGGTTTTAATTGCTTGCATTTACCAGAGGGGTGAACATTATGCTTTCTTTGTGGCACCACTATCCACTAAGATTGCCAGGTGTTGAATTTCCCTAGAGGATCCCTATTTGTTGAAGGAATTCATGAAATATCCACCTATCCAGAGCTGGGGCTCCTGGCATTCCCTTCCCGTTCTTGGGAATCAAAACTTGATTTTGTTTCCTCCATGGCTGCTTTGGGTTTCTTGACTAATTCCGTTCACTTCTGTCTATTCCTCTCCATAAGTGCCCTCCCTCCTCTCTGCTTGACCACCTCAACCACTAAAAATGGGCCAGTCTTGCCTCAGAAATGAACATGCCTGAAAGCCTTTTGCTGCAGATGTGGCTGATGGCGCAGAGAGTTGTAAGTATAACTGTGCTTTTTAGCAGGGTAGAAAGAAAGATGAAGCAAGGGCAGGAGAGACAAAATGAGTAGACAGAAGGGTAAGGAGCAAAGAAGTATTTTGCAGTGTTTAAAATCTATAAATCGCCCTTTAAAATCCATGAATGGACTTCCCAACAGATGGCAGCCCTACTGTCAAGTGAGCCCAAGGCAGGCAGACCATAATTGTTAGCAAGTGTATTGTTAAGAGAATTTACTAATTTACTGATGCAGCAGCCACTTGCAGTTGAAGAATAAATTGGAATATTTTGGTGCATTTTCTTTAAAAAGTCATCCACTTTTAAGTCTCTGTATTAAAATGACACAGTCTTAAATGGGGGTCTCCTTTGCTAAACAAAAGATATGCAAATGACATTTCAAGATTTATATTATGATAAAAACTGAAACACAAAAGAGACATTATCTTGCAAAAATGTAAAAGTACATTGCTTCATGAGTCTATAATGATATAATGTGATGTTGATGTAGTTAAAGATGTCAGAAGGGAGACAATGACCTTAAAAGTTTAAGGCAGACACATTAATATTGATTGATTTTTAAGAGATTGAACAGCAAGAATATATCTATATATAGCCTGGATATTGAATTGTTTGAAAATTTGAGATGAGATGCAGAACATTTTGGTCTTATAATGCTTTAGCCCTAATGGCAAGAACATGCTTTAAATGCAGCCATTTGTACTACAAGAAACTGGATGAAGGTTTGCCTTGAATTTAGCAGGCTGTAAAGCAATTCCTCATAAAAGGTATTTGACCAAGCTGGGTGATCATTTCTGACTTAACTGCAGATGCAGGTCTGTCATATGAGATAATACAAAATTGTAATGTATTTTTTTTTACTCTATTCTAAACATATGTAGACCTGTATATAGTCTTAAAGTATTTTATACACACAGATGCACTCAGAGACTCATGCCTGTAATGTATTTATCGCTGTAGTACCTCAGCACCTTCTGGCCTTGCACCAAGTAATGTGACTACACATCTGTCATGTGTCATTTGTTCTTCCTACTTTTCCCCAAGCTAGGAGAAGGGAGTTAATAACACTACGTGTTTTGGTAAGTTTGGGATTCATTTTATATGTATGTTTATGATAGCAAAGTCATAAAGAAATGTCCCTTGGATTGAGATGAGAAGTGATAAATATTGTGGGTTTTTTTTTTATACACTTAGGGCAATTCATTTTATCATTTCAGGCTGATGAAGGTTTCACTCCTTCACAGATGAGCTTTACTCTTAATATAGAGAATTCCACTGGTCGGAGAAATGGAGATGTTCACTGCAGTTGGTCTTTTAGACTTCTGGGGGCCAGGCCGCAGACATGTTGGAAATAGGGACTAGGAATTTATCTTGCAAATATCTACTGGTAGCAGAGAACAGATCTGACCTGTATGAAGTGGCTCATCTTGTTGAGAAGAGATCCTGCAGTGTTATACAAGCTGGAGATTTTCATTCTGAGTCAGACCCTGTGAAACATGAGGTAGATAGTCATAAGGCTTAGACCACCTTTATAAAAAGCTTTATTTTACATCTCTTTCCAGTTAATCTTTCATCTTTTACCTTCTTCTCCCCATATGTGAAGTGATAGAAAGTCCAGGTCTGGTGGAAACAGGACAGCTGGGAACCTGGAGTTCAGTATAGACATTATGCATAATAGAGAACAGTTGTTTTCAGGAATCAGAGAAGATAAGAAAAATTACCATGTGGCCACTCTGCCTCCAGATTCAAATTTTTTAATATATAACCAGAAATGGACAAAGGTGGATTCTTGTTAGGAGAACTAGCTAATAGCAAGGTGTCTGGGTGTCATAGCTGCATCATGTAAACTTTTACTTAGTTTTACCAACGAGAAAGCCTGCTATGACCCTCCAGTATAGGAAAATAGTCCTAACAGCCTGTTTAATAAACCAAAGAAAGCACAGCATCGCCAAAGGACCTGGCCTGAATGAGCATCTAGAATCCTAGAAAGTCAAGAAATTTGAAGGTAGTCAGACTTGATTTAATCCTTTTTCTCTATAAATCTCATTTCAGGGAATGATTAACTGAAGGAGAGACATAAATGGCAGCGTCTTGATCAAGGGAGCTTCTGTCAGGGTACCATCTAGATAAATTAAAAAATGAATGCTCAGGTTGCTGTGAAGGAAGACTAATGACATTAAGTCAAGATGAAATAGAAAGGTACAGTACTACAGGCTGAAAATCATAAACTACCAGCCTGTCCTGGCGAGAAACCCTGAGAAACTTCCTGAGCTGGAAAGTAACTGGGAACATTAAGGAATGACTTTCTGTAGGGGCCTGATCTTGAAGTTACTCAGGACTAAAGATGTCCTGGACCACAATAGTCACTTTTTCAAAGCTTTCAAGACTGGTCAAGGAATATTCTGGAAGTATCTGAAACAGCAGGTGTTAATAACAGCTCTACGTACTACAGGTGCTGTGCATCTGATGTGCTTTCTGTACTTAATGGGAATCCAGCCTTTCTCCTAAATGTGAAATGTGGTCCCTCCAATCCAGAGGCAAGCAGACCGTGGATAACAGGAAAATGTAAAAACTACAGCCAGTAAATGTTTATATAATTCAGTGAATTTATTTACAAGAAAGCAGGAAAAACAGGAATGGCAGTACCCTGAAAGGAGTGGAGATCCTAGCTGAAAGCACGGGGAAACCTTGTAAGCAAGCTGAACGTGTTTGTGCAAAAAGACATTTCTCAGGAGGTAAGACTTGTCCTTAGGTATGTCAGAAAGAATAAAAAAAAAAAAAAAAGAAAAAAAAAGAACATCACTGATTAAAAACGCAGTCCTGGAAATCTAGTGTTATAACCAAAACAAAATGCCAGTCTCATCAGGAAGTGCTGAATTGTTGGTTCAGTATTGACTTAGTCTTCTAAGAAACATCGGTAATGCTAACTAAAGGAATAGGACTTCCATTGGAAGTCTCCTAGGCTTCAGATTCAGATCATAATACAGAACAGCATTTCTGCAGCCAGGCACTTAGTGTGATCAGTACTAAAACTATGAGATTAGCTAATGTACTTTTCTGTGATGTGCAAAGTGAATGCCAGGATGTAGCATTGTCCCTGACTGCAGTAGCGTAAAGTTATGCCTCAACAGCCTTCCATTTTAATGGAGGATTTTGAAGGTAGGAAGGAGGTCTCTGGAGTGTTACACATCAGAAAGAAATAATTTTTAAAGGCAGGAAATAAAGAAAGATTTTGAACCAATGTTTAGAACAGATAAATGGGAGCAGCAAAATTTTCAATGTTACTGTTACACCCAGCCATATAGCAATAACTAAATGAAGCATGCATTTAAAATTTGGTGAGAGGCTTTTCTGTATTTTAGTTCTGTTTGACTCAGCAGGTGTGCTGCACTTTAGACTTCAGTCTCCAAGGCTGTCAATCCAGCAACTTTCACAAGCATTATATTCACTTAAAAGCTGAAGGAGAAAAATAGAAAAGGATGATGTTAATAGTACTTAGCACTTACATAGCTTTTTGCCTCCTCAAAATGCAAACATGAGGTAATTAACAGGTACTTTGTCTTGGTGATGCAGCTGTATCTAAACAGTCTTTAAGCAAAGAGAATGCAAACAGATAAAACCAGTCTATTCCCATGTTTCACGTTTTCAAGGTTAAATGTTAGAATGAAGCATTTATGATGCCATTTATCCTTGTGATGATGCGAAGAGTCCAGCTTGTGGAAACCAACACAGTGTATTTCTGCACAGTGTATTTCTGCAGGACTCCTTCTTCACTGTGATTATGAAGAATTTATTGTAATAGATTCAGATTTTACTTGATGAAATGCCTTCTACTGGAAAGAACTGGCAAGTTGGGAGGAGATGTGTTGTTGAGTAAAGGCAAACTATGTAGTTAGGTTGCACAGTTCTACCCATGCACCAGTTATTATCCACCCTGCCTTAGGCATTCGGAATATGGCCCACAAAGGCTTTAACTCCTGGACAGATATCCAATCTAATCTACTTATTTAGAAAGTCCAAGGTCTTAGGAAGAGAACACCAGCAATAAGGGGATCAGCTGGCGCTGAGAAGTAAAAATTGTTCTGCGGGGAGAAAAGAGACAGACCGGTTCTAGAAGGATGATACTACAAGTCTTATGGACTTAAAAGGGTGTTGACAGATGTGCTTTTTTCTCACTTAAAAGTTCAGTGGTGTTTTCAAAGCTGGAAGTAAAATTTTAACTGGGCCTTTTAAAGGGATAACAATTTAGATCAGCCAGGATTCACAGCCAAGTTTGCTGGGAGAATTGGCCATTTCACTCTCCTCTTCGTTCTTAGGTCATTATGATTTTAGGATGGCAAATCTGTCAATTTTGCAATTTTTTCTGGTAGTACTGTTTTGGTAGAAGCTGAAGTGTGTGCTGTGTTGGACTCATGCACAGTTAGGTAACCAATGTGTGGTCCATTTAAGAGAGTCAGAGAAAGCTTCTCAAAGTTACTGCATCATAGTCTGTCTCTCTGTGCTGAGCTCAGCTGATGAGAGCAGAGGGGGTGTGAAAAGGCTTGTTAATAAAAGTCTGTTGAGATTGCATTACTGTGAACAGCCAAATCAAGACAATACAGATTTTATCAACCAAGGATTTAAATCTTGTTTGAAAATACTTTTCTTTCCTGCACTGGGTACCTTTCCTTGTTGCACCCTTATGGTTTGTAAACAAGAGCTCTTCTCTATGACCTTTGAAGAGCAGTGAGAATGGAGACTCCCTTCTCGTCGTAGAGAACAGAAGGAGAAAGAGGGAAGGGGGAGGAGAAAGAGGGCCTTATTTGAGGCAGGGGAGTCTTGCATCCTCACACACATTTTGATGAAAGTTTATCAGTCCCAGGTCTCTACTTTTCCTCCTTCCCTTTCTTTGGTTGTTAACATGAGGAATGGGAACTCTCTTGTGAATTGTAGGAGGAGCAAGGGTGACTGGAATGGAGGATGGAAGAGCTGCGGCAGTCTTGGAGGCTGTTGGGGCAGATATGATGAGAGGATTGGGAAAGGGCATAACTAACTGACTGATGGTGTGTGGGATAGACAATTATGGGGTGACTAGATTCCACTTATACTTGGGGTTGCAAGAAGCTATGGCCTACCAAGCTTACTAGCCATACGTTTGGCTGCCAAGTAGCCATTACCAACCACAGTGCATGCTTATTGCATCATGCCAAAAGCATCTTACTGACTAGATCTAGAAAAGCGTTATATCAAGGCTAACTGCAAGAGAGCATACAGTCACCCCAAGAATAACTTAGAAGAATATTCATTTTTCCTTCAAAAGGCTCGAGCCTCAGAGGAGTGAAGTAAAACAGCACATCTGAAAGGAGAGAAAGCTGTAGCTAAGGAGATATCTTTGGCTACGTGATCAGCCCTAGTTTGTAGCCAGACTAAGGACCTCAGTGATGTTTTGCACATCACCATGAAAGCCAAATTCTAACTTACGACAGCTTTGGCATGCAAAGTGGACCGATCTCTTTCTCCAAAAGATTAGACCTCTCCACATTCTTCACGGATGTCCTTTGCCGTGGTCTTTTTTAATGTTCTGAAAGTTTTAGTAAGATATGTGTTAAAGCTTTTAACATGCTTAAATCTTAATGAAGGTAGATTTAGGTCTCCTTAACATAAATGCTGCTCTTCTGTGTATCAGCATAAATAGTCATCTGAATATATACATATATATCTGAATATATACATATATATGTATATATATGTATGCATACACACACACACACACAGATGTCAAAACCCAGCTAGTCACAAGTGACATTAAATGCTTGCCTGGAAGCCAGGCCAGTCCTCTTCACCTTATATTCCACTGTGTTACATTTTCATTATAAATTCAAAGTAAATTACAAAGGTTAGTAAAATCTTATTTTCACTTGATTTTTTATTTTCAGTTGTCCACTTACATTTTCTAAATACGTCTCAAATCTTACATGATTAATGACCTAACTTCATAGAAAGGAAAATTAGTCGGAGAAGAAATCACATTTGAGATAACACATTGCCATACACGTATTTTGCATCATTACTGAGTGATAACATAATACAGTTAATGAGTACCTTCTTCCCTAGTATAACTTCTTTGTCAGCAGGAGTCAAATGTAGTCCTTTTCATCTCGTGTTATGTCATGGTTGTGGGTGTTATGTTCAGTGTCTGCAGTACGTAGCTGCATCAGGACATCTAAAAGGCTGATATTTCATTTATTCCATCACTGCAATCTTTTGCTGTAGAGTTACGTAGCAAAAACGTTTTGTTAATATGAAGTGTTTAGTGGTGTAGTCATTGAATCCAATATGACTTTCACAGTTGATTTCAATCAGAAGAGAACTCTGTTTTCTGTGACTGTGTCACCCTAGTAAAAGGTGAACTCTATGCCCTTTTAGGTAAAGTATTGCACCTATACTTTTAAAAGAGATCACTTGTAAAAAGTGCCCTGGAAAAGGAGAGAGAGAAAGATACGTTCCTGTTACTGAAAAAAGTATCTTCTGAATTGTACTTCTCATTAAAACAGAAAAATGCAGAATGTAAAGTCTGTGTTCTGTATTAATATTTATTCAAGCTATCTTCTGATACATTGCCTTTCTGATGCTACATAGGGTTGTTCTCCTGCACTGTTTCCCAGCACAATGGCTAATGTCCTGCTCTGAAAATTATCCATTAAAATTTTATCAATTTTGTGTTTTGGTGAGACAGTATGAGGAAATGCCACTGGAAAATTAGATTCCTCTTTGACATCAGGCGCCCAGTCAGCAATCGAATCCCATGTGTTTCTACTGAGACATTAGGATTTGATATAATTTTGGGCAGAAAACATTTTAAAATGAAACAATTGAATTTTCTAGATGGTCTTGGGGACCACTTAGCTTAAGAGAATACACTTCCAAATCAAAAGCCTTTCAATCATTTTAAATATTATTTGGATGATATTTGCTTTATGGGTAGTAGCAGTTTGAATTTGTATTGAATGTTTGACTGGCTCATGCTTGCATAGATGATGTATGAAATTATTATTTCATATTTTTCTAGTGTTTGCATTGCAAGTGACATCTGGCTGACAGGAACTTGGAGAAATGGGATGCGAAGTGAATGCTGCAGTTACCACAGCATTATATTTATCAAAAGGTTTAAGGTTGGTCTGTCTTTGTTTAACATATGAAGCTCACAGCAATGAATAAGGAACAGCACTATTTTTTTTTAAGCTGAACTGCTTAGAAAATGAAGATAGGCGAAGGAAAACCGTTAATAGTATTCTTTGTTCTGATCAAAGAATTAATTGATGAATAGCATCATGCATACTGGCTGAAAGGTAGTTCTGAACTTATTTTTATATTTGCTATTATCCCTTTAAATTTTGGCTAATGTCATATAATTCATACACACCATATTACAGAGACAGGAAAGTTTGGAATAAACTGCAGTAGCAGAGTGCGTAGTTTTCTTTTTAGACTTAGTCTTCAGCTACACAAGCCTAAAAATCGCTTTATTTCTAATTGCGTTATAAGTTTGAAATGTGCCTATTGAAATGCTGTCTTCAACCAGACTCCTACTCTGATACCTTTTATACCGTTTTCTTGATGTTTCACTTGTCTAACGGTAAATTGTGGCATGTTAGAATATAATACAAGATGTAAAAATGAGAGTATTGTAGTTCAAAATATATTTTGAAAATATATGATTCTCTGTTTAGAAATAGTACTTTGGCCTTTAAAAAAGGCATGTTGTAAAATGAATGCTGTTCATGGGGAAGGTCTACCATGGTGTTACAGAACAGTGACAAAAGGTGGAATCTGTATGATATAGTGGACTGTACAGCTTCTGGCCATGCCCTGCCAGAGAAGAGGAATTAGCCATATTACTCTGACTAGAAGGGTCTCTGGCGCACACTCGTTGATGTTGCTGTCTTGATATCATTTGCCTTTAGCGATTATTAAGGCTGTGAAGTGCGTGTGAAGGAAACCCACCCTTGCACACCTCCCCATTATCCCCCAGCTGTCCTGGGAAGGAAAGGACCTGGAGACTGTTACACTTGTGGAGGTGGAGTTCAAAAAAGCAGCAAGAAGAGAAGGTGTGTGGAGACGGTGAGGTGGGCAAAGTAGACTGAGAGGGGAAAAGGCTGCTTAAGAGAGACAGCGAGAGGTGTCAAACTATAAGTTATCCAGAAATAATTGCTCCTTTACTGCTGTCAAGTGATGAACTGATCAACAAAGTTACCAAGCTGAGAGCACTCAGCATCTTCCTTTTAAACAAATAGAAAATCCAACTTTGAGGTCCAATTCATTGCAAGAAAGATAAACTGACAGTTATTTTCCTTCAGCTCTGCCATAGTGAGGTCTGGTTGGGAAATTTCAATTAAAAGAAGCAAGAAAGACAAAAAGGAAACACTTCAAAACTGTTCAAAGTGAAGATAATTCTGTTCCCCTGAATGAACATCAGGAGGAACCCATCTGTTTACTGATGACATAGGGAATTTGTCTATCCTCCTTTGTTAAGCATCTGTAGTGTGTTTACCCTCCATTCTGCTTTTTTCTCCACTCTTGCAAATATCTCCACTCAGTAAAGAAACTTATCCATTGCCATGCTTGCCTTTCCTAGCAGACAAGAACTTATTCTGTAGGGGAAAAAAAAAAAAGCCTTTCTGTTGGTCAGACAATTGAACAAAGAGCATTGAGACGTTGATCACGTCAGACTAGCAAAGAGAAGTATCAAATTAGAAGGTTATGAGCAATATGTATTCTAAGCGTAGCGGCAACAAGAAGAGAACTGGTCAGAAAAGGAATAGAGATAATCCTGTAGGATAGCCTGCCATTGAGCTTGGTTTCCCAAGCATTGCATAGTGGGTCTTTTCAACAGTTCTTTAACCATGCTGAATGCTAGATATGTATCACTGGAATATGTTTTTCACTTTTAGATGAAGATCACAAAGTATTTACCTTATGTTGGCTTGGAATGTTGTGGGAAAGAGAATTTGACATGCATGAAACATTTAGGTACCTTCTCTCTTTTTTTAAAAAAAAAAAAAAAGATGCTTTTGTAGCCTTCCTGAATAAGTCCTATTCACTGTTGCTATTCCCCTGTGCTCTTATGGTTCATTATAGATAGAGTATTATGTAACATACTCCACTTACCTGTTTTCCATGTTCTCATTTGCTCTTTTGAACATGACACCTTTTCTTGGGTTCCTTTGAAGCTCAAGAGACCTGATGTCAGTCATTCCTAAAACATCTTCCTTTGTTCTCCTACAATGGATGTCTTCCAACTGACTCTCCTTCTTCTGGATAGAATGGACTAGGTTTTCAGTCTTTCAACTGAGGTGGGCCAATCCCTGTGTCTCAAACTTTACTCTGTGCATCTTTGTCTCTGACAAAATGTCACATATGCAAAGATATATGAGTCATCTTAAGCTACTTTTAAACAGGTCCACAAGTGCTACTGCCTGCTATTAAGCTAAGATCACAGAAGTCTTCAATTCACTTTTCTTCGTTTCTGTTCAGCTTTGTAGTGTATTGTATAATACTCTATAGTACTTTTGTATCTGCTTTTTTATAAATGAAAAAAGCTGGTTTAGTTTTCTTAGCCAATGCTGTCTATACTCTGTAATAATATATATTATTTATATTCTTCTTCTAGCTGCACACTCAAAAATTTAATCAGCTTCTGGTTAAGATTGCTAGACTTCCTATACAGCAACACAAACAAAAGCAAGCAAGGAAATAAGTGATTAAGTCGTTCAACACCCCATTTACTCAACGCTCATCAAGTTCTCTTTCTCATTCTCAGCTACCTTACTTGCGGTATCCACAGTCCACACATTTCCAACTTCATCCTGTTTATATTAGATTTCTTCTGATTGCTATTCAAGACATGTTTCTTTGGACTGCTGCATAATTTAACACGTTTTATAATGAATATTTTCACCCCAAACTAGGAAATCATTATCAATTACTTCTGTTTTAAATAAAATGATTCTTTGATACATTCCAGGTACTAAGGCAACACTGAAAGAAAATTACCTAGCTATAGAATGGCTAATGCTAAGGCTGAAGATGCACATTCTGCACTCTTTATATTGAGATATTTTGTTTAAAAAGCCATTGAATAAGATTTTCAAAGCTGCTTAGGGGCTGAAAAACCCTATGGTGTATTTATAATACTTTTAACCATGTTTATTTCGTCTTTAGAACTCTGACCCTAAATGTTGGCATGATAGTCTCTATTGTACTTACTGTTTACTGATTGTATTTTGTCTTGTGGATCTGTGTGTTACCTTGTTTAGCATTATGGTGGAACTATGCTGTTAGTCCAATCAGCCTGTGTCCTGCTCCACTTAATATTTTGGTTTCTCTATTTACAAATTCAATATAGTCAATTATGCTTGATGTGATATTGATATTTATATCATTGGGATGAATCATATTTTTAAGAGCCTAGGGTCTAGGAAACATTTCATCACATTCTTTAAGATTGTCCTTTGTATATTTTGAGTAGTAAAGCCATACTTCTTTTTGATAATTTGCATTTACAATCTGTTTTGCAGAACAAGGGTACATCAGACTTCCTCTTTTGCTCTTTCAGACCATTCTCTGTCTGTGGTGAAAGGCAGGTTGGTCAAAGGTCTGATCCTTTTGGAAGCCACGTTCTGGCACTTTCTTCTTTTGGGGTGAAGATGAAAGTGATTGAACGGCATTCAACATAAACATCCTTTCTTTCTCAAGAAGACGTTAGTAGCACCTACATGTACACATATCCTACAGGAACTGAGTGCTCCAGATGATGTTCAAGATAAAGTGAATCAAAGTACTTGCAGGTGAATTTTTCAAGGTGTTTTTGTAGGAACAGTGTATATATAATAAGAGCCAGAGCAAAAATATTCACTTTTATTTAAAGACGAAAATTAGTAGTAGCTGTGATAGACTGATGAACTGATAGAGACGTTTCAATACAATAATAGAAGTTGGTTGAATATATTTTTAAAAATTTAGTTAGTGGAAGGTAGCAGGAGAAAAGTGTATGGACGCAAGCATACAGACGGACAAAGCCATGAACCAGAGACTATTTATTTATTTATTCATTTATTGCAAGTCTTTTGTTCCCAGGCTACAAGTAAACACCAATCCTGAGCTATGGTGCCATAACAACAAAAGCGCTCCAAAGAGGGTGGAATGAAAAAGAAAGGGGAGATCCCATAGGACAGCTCACACAGTGCTGATAAAGTCATATTTTGTAGTTCACGTTTTGTGTTCTCACATTCAGGAAAAAGTATAATTGAGACCAATTCCCCAACTGACAAGAGTCCTTTTAAAGCTGAATTACAATTGACAATAAAACATTTTAAAGAAATCTAGTCCTTTCTTTGTTATTAACTTTGTTTTCTCTGTTGTGCCAAAGAAGGCACAAAGATAAAGAAAGAGAGAGAAAGAGGGGAAAAAAAAAACCTCTCAGCTGTGGAAAAAAAAAAAATTGTTATTCAGTCTGCCAAATGAGCATCCCAAAGTACAGGAGCTAGAAAGAATCTGAGACTCACATCATCTGTCTTGGTTTTTTTTTTTTTTTGTCCCTTCCATTCCATTTATTTTCAGTCACTTTTTTCTCTTTTTTCTTGCCATGCTGTCTTTATCAGATCTTCTTTTGCCACTTTTGGCCCAGTTCTCAACTACTTTCAACATTAGTTGTAGCACTCCTTTTCCTTCTTCAGCTTGCCTCCACAGTGCTTCAGGGTAGTTTGGAAAAGGATGTTGCCTGCTTGAAACATTGCTTTCCCTAAGGGCAGCACAATAGTGTATTGGAGGATGTTGGTTGTTCTTCTAGATGAGAGGAGTTTTAAATCCTGTCCCTGGCAGTTTCAAGGCTGAGGGGAAAAAGGAAAGGAAGGTTTTAGAAAGCCACTTACAGCCTGCCTTTGTGGCTAAATGCGATTTTGGCCCATCTGAAGATGCTTCTGGCGAATGGTGTTTGTTACTTGTTTTATCTGTCTAACATTATTATACAACATTTGCTTTTTCTCCTCTCCATATTTTCTCCCCTATGAGTTTTCTAAGGTTTGAGTACTGTGTTCTCATTGTCTCGGTCCTTACAAAAAAGTCTGGTTTTGGTTCATTTTAATAAAATTAGACTTTCTTTATACACTTCTGGCTGGAATAAACCCATGCTGCCTGCTCTGCAAATGATCATATATGGTAGTCAAAATGGACAAACATATAATGTGGAAAGTTGGCGTAATGAAGGCAATACCTGTGAATTCCAGTGATATTGCTAAAGATGGAGGAGATTTTGGTTGTGTGTCCCTCATATTATATATGTAGGTGTCTGTGTGGCCTTTTCAAGTCTTCCGAATGGCTAGAATTCAACTCCTAAGGCTTATCAATCTGAGCAACCCTATTCTGCTTACGATTACTGCTACTTCAAAGTCTAAAGTCCTTTGGAAACACTGTGTTTCTCCAGCCAAGAAGTTGGTTGTGGCTCAGCTAGTAGAAATCATGACATCTCAGAAACGCAGAGATCCCATTTCATACCTAAAACGAGACAGAATTTAGATTGTTATACCCTAACCATAGCCACGTGGTTGGATACTGCTAAATTTCACATAAGAATGCCTGTCTGCCTTCCTTTCAATGAACATCTCTCTTTTTCTATCAGCAATCAGTTCAATATAATATATTTTCAAAGTAATTCTTCCTTGATCAGCAGACTGCAGTATTTTATCGTTTTGGATATTTTGTTTCCTTCATGGGTGAATACTTCCACTGAATTACATTTAATATCTATTAACTTGAATCTTCAAAAGACCAAAAGGCTTCTATATCTGATTATGTTGTTCCTCATAATTTGTTATTTCTTCCAATTTGATACCACTGCATACTTAGAAATTTGATTTCTGTTCCATCATCCTATCTAAAAACAGCATCCTGAAATAGAAGTCCTTCTTATGAAATCGTCAGCTTCCTGGGAGTGACAGTTCTGCCCCTCTTTACTTCAAGCAGGCCTTTCAGTTGAATTTCTACTTTTGAGGTAGTTTTTTCCAGATACCCAAATCTTTCTTAGTCATTGCTCTGATGGTTGGATTGGTTG